GATTAACTGTCATTTATATGTCTACTGGAGTTAAAAGAATTTTTAAGTCATACAACATGTGGTGTCTAATATATGCCATATGAATGATTTAATTGGAGCATGTAACTTTGATTATTGCTAATGAGAATTACCCATATGTATTAAGGCTAGAGCAGAACTGTAATGATGATCCAAGGCCTTAGTACATAACACATGTATAGTGATACCACTTCTACACTCTTTGATTGCCACAACAAATCATGTGATGCCATGCTGCTCAACAGATTTAATTTGATTTATCAGTCTGGTGGATGGAATGTAAACTTCAGCCTCTTCCGTCTTCTATTTTTGACATTTAAACATTCTCCCTTCTTTCTGCACTATCTGTATCACTACAGTCCCCATAGCTTTGAAATGTTTTTGTCTCCTCAGGATTCCCACCTGCACTAGAATGGGTTTTTCTACAAAAAAAAAAATTAAATTCAGTCCTATCCAACTCCAACTCTTGCCTGCATTTTCAAGTAAATAAGAGAAGCAAACAATACATTTCACATGTGATCATAAGACAGAAAGTATAATTGTGTGACCGAATAAACACTTCCAAAATAATTTAGAAGAATAATGACAGCAAATTAATGAGATTCAAAGAACAAGCAAGAAGAAAAGGTGGAAAATATGGAATGATCCTAGGTAGGGGAAAAATGTTACCCCATATATCAGCTTTTCAAGGATACAAATTAATATTTATTTACATACTGATGCACTTACATTTATAAAGATAACATCTTTATAAATTTAACTCATACAGGGAAACTGGAGGGCTGTGTGATAATAATGTAGGCTTTTGATCAAATTTTACTCTTGTAAGTATAAATAGGGGATAAAAATGAAATTTTGTTCCAGGTTTTTTTTGTCCCTTACTAATTCTCATACTTCAACGTTAACTCTGACAAGGTCAAGTACCCTTTGTAATATTAGCCTTCTCACTAGGCATAGGAGAGCAAAAGTAACCAATAACAGTATGGTAAGAGAAGAGCAAAACTAAGCCACCTTTTTATCGGTCTTCTCACAACACATAACAGATAGATCTAAGATAACTATAAAAGTCAGCAGCTGAACCAGGCATCAGAGAAAAAATACATCTAGACATCATACATGGTCAAACATGATCTCTAGATCACCTTACCAATTTTATACCTTGTACTTTAGGAAGAGAAAATTTAATTGCACAGAATTTCACCAACTTTAAAAAAACCATAAAAGACCCTTTGTTTAAGTTTTCTAAACACAAATTTCTAATATTTATCTGACCATCAGCCGTCTCCCCTGAAGGGTGTATCATTCTTGTAAGTCCTGTTCATCAGCACTTTTAACAGTGTCTCAGAAACCCCAAGACACCTTTAATAACACTAGACACTGTATTTAGGTGACCAAATCAACTACTGCTTGTTTACTGACATTTACTCAATGAGTTGAAGTAAATGTCCGTGAAGTGAAACTGCATTCGTTCCCCACTGATGTTAAGATGCTGCCTCTTAGCTTTCATACCATCAGCAGAATATTGCTAGTTAATGAGGCTCCAAGTGCCTGGGATAAGAGTTTTAACCACCAAATTGTTTTCTGAGAGCATTTAAGGTGACTTAGGCCACAACATGTTCCATCTGCAAAAGAAGTTTGAAGCTTAAATACTGAAACTTACGAAACAAACATTTTACTGAAATGAGTGAAAAGTACTGCATATAACATTTTCTTAGAAAAATCTGATTTTCAGCACAATGTTGTCAAAAGTTTAGTATTTCATCTTAGTGAAAACTTAACACTGTGGTATTTTTAATGTTAAAGAAAAGAAAAAAAACCAACATGTGAATAACAGATGATTGTCCTGGAATATTGCAGCAACTGTTCTCCTCTGCAGTCCAGTTGTTGCCAGTATAATTAATGTAAGATGTGTGTGCGCAGAATTTAGACAGTTTAGGAGATACTGAACTTCTTGGCAGCCAGCTGAGCAACTATTTTGCACAGTAAGCAACATACTAAAGTCAATGTACTGCAAAAATAATTTAAAAATTTTGATCAGGGAAAAAAACCTAAACAACTAAATTGTTTATTACTATTTTGAAGAAAAAGTGATTCTAGAAATGGAGATTGGATCAGACCACCTCCAGAGGTCCCTTCCAACCTCAACCACCCTCTGATTCAGAGCTAAATTGCTCTCTGAAATAAGTTGAAAAGATCATTTTCCCTGAGGAAAACATCTCAGGTTAATATGGTCACACAACGCATAGCAGCATCATGTTCTTAATTTTTAAGATAATTGGTGAAGAGACTAAGCAGGGATCTCCATACCCTCTGCTGACTGCAAAAGAGACTGATGGTTCTGCTGAAATGCAAGTGGGATGTCTGTTTTGTGAACATAACTATGGCAGAGTTTAAAATGGAAATCTTCAGACTGCAAATTTATATAATGCACACCAGAAACTTGTTTCTGTTCCTTCTGCCACACAGCAGTAAATATTTCAGCTTGATTTCAGTTTTTTTCAACATTCATCCTATATTTTTTGCCAACAACAGAGAGTCTATTTAACAAAGGCTTCAAAAATAAGCTCTAGCAATCTGCATTCCACGATCCCCAAGGAAAACTATTTACTCAAAACTATTTACTCAAAAGTACGGCAAAGCTTGTCTAGTATTTACTGCTGTCAGTGTCACAATAAGAGTGCACAGGAAAAAAAAAAAGAAAGAAAACAAAGGAGAAAATGATAAAAGGAGAGGAAAGGAAAGGAGATGAAAGGGAAAAGGAAAAAGGTATTTGATTTCTTTTCTTGCATTAACTACACTGAAATAGTGGAATTGTTTGGGAAATCAGTCTATAACACTAAAATCAAACATGCAGGTAACAATGTTAAGTATCTCTTTCTGCCTGAACTGTGGAATAGATTAATGAGTTTATAGCAAGCCATGTGCTATATATTTATTTTCCATAAGTGACGCACTTATAAATGAACAACTCATTCAAAAGATCTGAATGTACTATATGTTAGTAGTCATTGTGTTTTTAATACGGGTTTTCATTGTCTCAGGCGTCCTCAGTGGGAATGTTATGTATATGATACAGACCCAGTTTTACTGAATGTTAGGATTTAATAATGTGAAACTATGAAGAATTACCACCAGGTTAGCAAGAATATGAGCTTGCATTGACTGTTCTGTGATGTTTACCTGGATTCCTATTTATATGCCACTATACAGCAAATAGCCATCTTCTTCACTGGGGAGTAAGATACTTTGTTTTTATTATGTAGCCAAACTGTGTGTGCAAGAATTTGACTGAAGTAGCCAATGTAAAGTGGACTCATACCTTCATTTAGCTCCTTGTTCCTGTCCACAAAGTACAGCACAGTACAACGCAACTTTCTCATGCAGGTGACCAGGCTCAGTTATGTTTGTGCCTGTCTATTTCCTTACAGTCTGTTTGTCTGTGATTGTAGGCAAGAACTACATATTTATGTTTATGTATGAGTATGCATTTGATATTTAGAGACGTTTTGTTTAAGATGATGATATCAAGATTTCCATTTCAATATCCTGGTTTTGAGAATTTATAAATTAATGATGTAAATATTTGTCAGATTGAAACTTAGTTGTTTCATCAGCCTAGGAAAGACGGGGTTTTTTTAACAAATTCTTAACAGAAATGTAGTGAATTCACTTAGTTTTTAACAATCTGAAAATACAAAGTAGATATTACATTGGATTTAGATATTTATAGATGATATTCTCATACAATTCAAAACTGTTTCTTTTTTAGAAATGTTAATTTTAGGACAACCATTTTATGTGCTTACCAAGGACTTGCATTATTGCATTATCTTATGCTAATGAAACATCTGTCAGTTGGGAAAAATTGTAGGTGAATTCCTACTAAAATTATAAGAGGAGCTTGGAGACACAAAATTTAATCTAGATAATTGACTCCATACTTCAGTACTATTCCTTGTATCATCTGTTGTGATGCTACAGATAAATCAGAAAGGCTTCAAAAGGTATTTTAACACCTGGAGTGAGATCTGTGAATGAGTGTGCCTCTGTATCTTTGTGAATCTACCCAGGAGTGCTTAAGATCTTTCTGTACAGCTCCACCTAGGCAGGTCTCAAACAAGTATTGTGTCCTCCTACTTAAACACAGAGTGTATCATGCAATGGTTTCTGATGTATTTTGGCTAATGAATTATTACATTATAAAATAAAAACAGGCAGACTTATAGATCCCACCAGATCTGAAATGTTTGTGCCCAAGTTCCGAGCTGCTGAAACACAAACCAGGTCTGGCCCAGGCACTAAACATAGTAACATGCAACCTCCTCAGAAGCAAAGCACTTTAAGCTGGTTAGGTGACACATGGGCTCAAATTCTCTGGTTCAAAGCTAATCATATTCAGCCAATGTAGACCATGACCAAAGCAAACCCACATAGAATATATATTAACAATGGAGGATACCCCGTTGCCTAATGGACTGGAAGAGCACCCAGACACCAGCAGTGGAAGGACTCTACCACAGGGATCCATACCAGATTTTTTTCTTTATGTGGTGCTTTTTTTTTTTTAATTATGTGGTAAAAGCAATTGGAAGCTAAAGGCATGAAAAACAATATATTCAGAATAAAAGTATTCAATGCACTAAAAAAAAGCAAGCAGAAAAACAATAGCAGACAGTGAAGCAAGGCAGTAAACCAAAGGACTGGAGAACGCGGACAGCAGATTATGATCTTATTACGCAGCATACTTTTCTATATACTAATGGAGAACTGAAAATGAAAAAAATAAATTAAACAAACTACTACTGTCTGACATAGCTTTCTTGTCTCTCTGCCTCCCTCTCCCAGGAATACGCATTCAATTCTGAATGTGCATGGTCATAATATGGTTTCAAACTAGTAGAAGACATTCTGTTCACATGTGTGCCTCAGAATGGAAGAGAAGGTAAATATAGAACCAAAGTATTACTTGGTCTTTACCATACCTGAGGGTAGCTGTCAGTCCTTGGAAGAACAGATATATCATAAGTGGCAGCAAAATGGCTCTTAGCTTGCTGGATCTGACCATAGCGTTCTCTTTTCCTCCATTTTGCTCTTCGATTCTGGAACCAAACCTGTAGTAAATGAGGAAACAGTCATCAAGGCAAACTCAATTACATACAGTGCAGAGTCTTAGGCAAAAGCCAAGAGATTTTTGGACAGTAGCTTTTAAAATTTCTGTTTATCTAAGAAATGGAGGTTCTTTGCCTGAGGATTAATTTCTTGCAGTTTCAGTCTTCTCAGTGTCAGACCTCCTTAAGCTATTTCTGGCTCTTTAAAGTATATGCTATTTCCTTTCTAGTATATAGAAAAAAAAAAACAAGGCAGAGGAAAGATCAGTCTGTCAGGCAGCGCTAGTTTCTACAGAGTACAGTTCTGTAGAGGAAAATCACCAATTAGCAGCAAGTCAAATTATAAAGAATCTTTTTCTTAATTTCACATGCCTACTGACTCGCTTTGACTACCTACGTATAATCTGCCTTCTAGAGGTATACATAATCTTTACCAAATGTGAAAATGACTAGGCAGGAAAATCTGGCAGCAGGACAGTGGTCTGTGCTGCAGAAAAAAGTTTCTATAAGGAAGGCTAACAGGGTAGGGAGATAACAAAAAATCATGATCACAGAGTTTTAAAACTATTCAGTTTTTTTCACATGTGTTAGTAGATAATTCTATGTTTCAGACAATTGAAAACTAAAGAATGGTACTTTATGTTTGAACTATGAAATGATTTAGACCTGAAACAATGTCTTCTTGTCAAGTAAAACCTATTTTCTTTATGCTCAAATAACTTTTTGGCTGTACTGTAATATTTTGAGTATCAGGTGTTATCTCAAAAACCTATTAAACCTATTTTTTGCTGTGACTGTCATCTGTCATTGTCCTGTGGTCTTCAAAAAAAAACTTTTTTCCTTCAAACAGTTTAGTTTGGACTAGCTAAGACTTATCGTGATGAATTAAAGGTATTGCTAAGAAAAGTAACTGTTTCTTAATAAAAGTAATATTATCCAACTAAGTCTTTATTGTTCAGCTGTGAGAAAACTAATTTTGACTCTTCTTTAAAGAAGTCACAGTACTAACAGAGCCATTATATTTTTAAGGAAACCATGCATTCATTAGTCTTCTTACTAAGTGGATTGTGAATACATTTGGGCAGATAGGTACATGAATAGACTTTTTTTAAATAGACACTAAGTATGAGAACCATTTTGAGGGAAATTTTCTGATCCTTGATGGTGGGATTTTTAAAATAGCACTGTTTGTTTTGTAATTCAGTTTTTGCCTTGATCTTTCGAGAACTCAACTGTTCTTTGATGCTGCTTAAGCAACCAGGGCATTATTTTTTATCATTTTAATTCCCAAGGACTTGTTGCAAATTTAGTATATGCAATATTTTAATATGTACTCCGCAATCAAAGCAAGGCCCATGGATATAACAGCTGAGTATATATTGTTAGGGACCGTGTCTGTAAATTTGTATTATTTATGATGTCTGAGGCTCAGAAAAAAGAAAAGAAATAAAGAATTCTTCTGGCTCCACAGGAGGCATCAAGAACATGCTACGGGAATTTAGTAATGAGGCTCTTTCATTGAAAAAAGACCTTGACAATCTCCTTAAAATGGGTGCCAATTACTTCACTGACATGCAGCAGGAAAGAGAACAACTTAGATAAATTAGGTTCAGGTTGGCTCTCTCTGCATGTATGCAGGACAAATATTAAATTGGATCTTGATGAAATGGAGGTGAAGGGAAATGTGGGTAAGATATCCAGCTGATCACTCTGCTAAACTAAATCAAACAATTTGCTTGAATTTATAGTAACTAAATGAGAAAAAAAGCACACATTTTTTTCCTTTGACAGTTCCCCAAAATGTTTCTGTTTACATCACTTTACAAGAAACTGACTCTTGGCAGAGATAAAGTAACCATTTGCCTCCACAAAGCAATGTAAAAATCTGCTGCTTGTTATCCTTGAATTGCCAGATGCTTGCCTCTAATGATGTAAGGCCTTTTAAACTGCTTAATCTTGTGATGGAATACTGTTGCTACTCTGGATAAAAATGATCGCCATTTCCTTTCATATTCAACATATAAGAACTGCAAAAATTTGTTATCTTCTAAGAAAGGGGAGAACGTTTTTAAACAAAACAGATATTCTGTGAAAGTCTGGTGCAGACTTATAAGTTTTTTACATTTACTCTCTTATTTTTAATATTTTTACCATATGAAACTTCTAAAACTTAGAAAAAATGTTATTAAAAAGTCAATTGACATATTTTAACCCCATTCCCCTCTCCTTGTTCCAACTACTGATTGATTCTTTGAGGTGTTCTCATTATTCCAGAATTATGCAATTGTAAGGACAGTGTTTAAACATTATGAAAGCATTTTTTTTAAGTTAAGGTTAATTCCTAATGAATAAAAGCCATACTTGGAAATTGTCCCAAATTCAGAGGGAGAGGGCTTGCACAGAGCCTGAAGAGTTAAAAGCCACTGAACTAAATTCCATTGGCATCACTGATGTTGTATCAATGTAACTGACACATGATTCTGAACTCCTGTTTTCCAATGACAACAGTCAGTACGCTGTCTGGTTGAATAGACATGAAAAGAACACTTCTTCATAAAATTAATTAGATGAGCTCATTTCTGAAAGTGATCCTGGTTTAATTTCAGTTGTATACATGTGCACTGACGTCTATTTCTTTATACACATGTGTAAGTATGTGTTTAATTACAAGTTGTGAAGTTGTTATCATATTCAAGTCATTAAATTAAAAAAAAATTAATTCCAGTCTGTAAGAATCTACATGACTGCTATTCCCTAATAGAAATGATGAATATTGCCAGAATGGAGAATAACTTAAAAAATGGGATTAACTCAAAATGCAGCTCACACTCTTTTCTAAGCAAAGATCTCTAAATGAGGGAAGGGCTGCATTTCCTGGATATTTAGCTTCTTTTCTCACCATTACACATCCAAGGACATATTGTTGAGATTACTGTCTGACCAAATACTAAATGAATCAACTTTGTACACAGTTAAGGTACTCAAATACTGCACTAAGTGGTCACCACCGTGTTTCGTTTCAAAGATCAGAATAACATTGTCTATAGATTACACCAGTTTAAAAACCAGAAAATGTTCTTCCCACTTCTGCAATTTTTAAGCTCATACTATACTACAGAGATGGGATGATTACATCCTTGACCTACCTAGACACAAAAACACTTGCGCGCGCACACACACACACACACACATATATATATACACACATTTATGTATGTGCAGTTTCACTGCATACTCTTTGGATAGAAACAAGGAATTACTTTTCATGCCGTAACACACACACAATCGTCTGCTTCCCAATTCTGCACTGTCATCAGTCTGAACTGCATGCAACACATCTCTTTAAAGGGATCTTTATATGCAATATATTATGGATTCATTGCCTGGAATTCTGACAGTAAAACAGGACTACCAGAGATCAAGACTTCTTTATTATTGATGTTGTTTTCTCATCCTTTAAACAAGTTTCTAGAACAGCAACATGAGCTATTTAAAAACAAATAATAAGTTATTTTAGTACCACAGCATCACAGCTCATATCCATAAAGAAATGAAGCAAAACAAGCTATTTGCTTTAGCTTTATGGGCTTTTGTACAATCCCCAGGAGTGTCATTTACCAGTTCCTACAATGCACAACTTGCCACAGAAATGCTGAAGTTTGGTTCCTACCTGGACTCTGGCCTCAGTGAGCTCTGTTCTCAGAGCCAGCTGTTCTCTTACATAGACATCGGGGTAGTGAGTTTTCTGGAATACTTTCTCCAGTTCCTCTAGCTGCAAACTGGTGAAAGTTGTTCTGTGCCTCCTCTTCTTGCTGCTGGAGACGTTGCTGTCACACTTATCACCGAGTTCATCCAGTTCCCCCTTCTCCTGCATCCCTTTCACCGGAGACATCCTGAGATTGTTGCAATTGTCCATAGGCCTGCTCAACTCTGTGTGAAGAGGCTGTCCTTCCACTTTGGTAATCCCATAATTCACTGTACACAAGGTAGGGGAGGGAAATAACTGGTTAAAGTCGGGGGCTTTACATTCAAGAGTTCGTGTAACCCAGTCTCACAAGAAACCAAATTCTATGTGGCTGCATATTTCTATATGAGATTGTGGAAGAAGAATCTGTAATATTACCCATAGACACAGTGAAAGTACTAAGTCACATTGAATTTTAACTGAGAACTGTACCTGAAGACATCACATGAAATCTTGCAGTGTAAGGAGACTGCCTGAGAGTACTTGAATATTTTTACTCTGCCACTGAAGTAGTTAATAATCCATGAAATCGGCTTCAAGTAGAGTTGCACAGATAAGGAATCTTAGCCCAAAACAGATTTTCGTATAAGTGGCATAAAGGTATTGGCAAAAGTGCCTTTAAACTGGGAAGCAGATGTAAAAAACTCTATTTCTATGGAAATACAAAATAACTGTGAAGTAAACTAAATAGTTGTAAACTGACAAATCAAGAAGCAAATGAAACAAAAAATTAACTTGGCTTTACAAACTCAATAGATTCCATATACCTTCTCGTGGATTTGTAAAGTGGAATTGTTTCCAATTAAGTTTGTTATGGTTACAAAATACAGAGTTTCTGCAAAATGTTAACTTATTAAAAGAGATCGTTTCACATACTTTGAATAAGGACTGCAGGAACTATTTGTCTTTAGGTAAAATCTAAATGGTAGAGATAAGAAATATTCCTCTCTAGCTTCTTAATAAGAAATGAAAATATTTCCTATTTTTTTCTATTTTTACATATCTCACATCACTGTACAAGTCACGTGATATGTTCTAGGATTTGGAAAAGCTTTTTTTTCCCCTCAGAAACAGGCAAAAAAGGTTTAAAACTCTATTGAAATTAAAATCTACAAAGATGGCATGTAATATATGATAAGAAGCTTGCTTTGGGATTTTGTCACATTCTCGGTGATTCAGCTTCAGTCCGAGCTGATTTTACCCAAACACAATTTTTAGATACTTACCATCAACACATACAGAGATAGGAAATGCCCCAAAGCCCCCAAGGCACACGTAAAATGAGCTCATTAAGAAAAACTTCAACGTATAAATCAATTTTCTGTTTTTTGTTTGTTTTGGTTTGGTTTTTTTTCTTGGTGGTGTTTTGGTGTTTTTTTTCTTTTTTTATGGTGCGCTTTCAGAAATCTGTCATTATTTCTTAAAAAGTGCTTCATACAAAAAGGATGTTGTCGAAAAATACTTCAATGTCTAGTCGAAAAACGTAAGATATTGTTAGTCTCATTATTGCAGCTGATCTTAACCATCTTTACCGAATTCTCTAGGAAAATATTTTTTTAAATTATTTTCTTTCTACGTGTGATTTGCATCACATTGAAATATCGGGGGAAATTTTAAATGTTTCAAATACAAAACAACCCACACACTCCTTATAGGAAAAAAACCAAAACAAACCAAATATTTGACACTCTTTTCTGAATTACCTGAGTCGCTTTAGTTCTGTATGAAGCATCACTTTTACGCATTATTCAGTGACAGAGCAAAAAGAAAAAGTAAAAAAAAAAAAAAAAAGAAAAAGAAAAAGAAAAAAAAGGAAGGAAAAACAAAGAAAAAAGAAACCTAAACCACGATCGTCACGGAGCGTTATCTGAAGGAACCGAACATGACTGAGGGCCTTCCGTTCCCATCCCGTGGGTATCTAGCCGGCAGAGCGCCGTACGCGCCCGGTGCACCCCGGCCACCGACCCCAGCGGGGTTGGCTGGGGTTTGCCGAGGAGTTTGCTGAGGGAAA